ACTAGAATACCCCATGAGATCAACATTACAAGTAAGGGTCTAGTTTCCATAAAATGATTATAAGTCTAGTTACTTTAGCTCAATACCACTTGGAAATACAATCACTAGATTACCTATGCATGCTAGTTTTTCATTTCATCAATCAAGCATATAACTAGCATATACCACACAAGCATGAATATTGAAATTTGAAACTTGTGCCATGCAAGCAAATATATGAAATGCACATTCAAATGCAACATACAAGTTGCTCCCTCTACTTGTGTGCTCAAAATTTTAATTGATCCCTTTCCTTTATCATATATCTCATATCTCTCCCCCTATGTCAAATACTCCCTTATCACGCATATCTTTGTTTCTCTCCCCCTTTGTCAACAATTAGCACAAAAGGTGAGCTCAAATTATAGATAGGTTGGGGTGAAACCATGTGAGATGAGGATTATTTTCCAATTTGGTTCAATCTAGATTACTTGCAAAAGATATTTAACTCAGTTTGATCCAAGGACAAGATTCTTCACACCTCAAAATAAGGGTTATCTTGTACCATGTTGAGTTAAACACTTATAGCTCATTTTATAGATCAAACATTAGGTTTACAAGCCCACAAACATGTCATATGCTACCACTAGATTATTTCAAACATACAAGCAATAGTGGTACCATACAAACATTAAATTCATTTGATTTTCATGAATGAGCATATTCAAATGTGAAATATGTCTAGATGCACTAAACATGTCCTTAGCAAGTATGTATGCCATGCCAATCAACTTTTACCTTGGATTGCTCGAAGGAGAGGCATGTCATATAAGTGGGGGTGCATCATCACATATTGGAGAAGTCAAGTATGTTCAATTCATTCCTTAGCTTGCAAAAACTCTTCTCATCAAGTGGCTTGGTGAAGATATCAGCAAGTTGATCTTCGGTGCCCACACTCTCAATGCAAATGTCCCATTTTTGTTGGTGATCTCTTATGAAATGATGGTGGACATCAATATGCTTTGTTCTTGAATGTTGAACCGGGTTGTGGTAAGCTTTACGGCACTCTCATTGTCACATAGCAATGGCACTTGCTTGAATTTGATCCCAAAGTCACTCAAAGTAGCCTTCATCCAAAGTAATTGAGCACAACAACTACCGGCCGAAATGTACTCCGCTTCGGCGGTTGAAAGTGCTACACTATTTTGCTTCTTTGATGACCAAGATACAAGTGATCTTCCCAATAGTTGACATGTGCCCGATGTGCTATTTCTCTCAACTTTGCATCCTGCATAATCGAAGTCCGAGTATCCAATCAACTCAAATATTGCTCCTTTGGGATACCACAATCCAACATTTTGTGTATGCTTCAAGTACCTCAATATTCTCTTTGTTGCCTTCAAATGACTCTCTCTTGGTGAGGCTTGAAATCTAGCACACATGCATACACTAAACATCACATCCGGCCTTGATGCGGTCACATAGAGTAGGCTTCCAATCATAGACCGATACATCTTTTGATCCACCATGTTGCCACTAGCATCACTATCCAAGCTTCCACTTGTCCCCATTGGTGTACTAATAGCTTTACTATCATCCATTCCAAACTTCTTGAGCATGTCCTTGATATACTTGCCTTGACTCATAAATGTGCCATTCTTCATTTGCTTGATTTGAAGACCAAGGAAGTAGCTAAGCTCTCCAATCATGGACATCTCAAACTCACTTGCCATCATCTTGCCAAACTCCTCACAAAAATCTTGATTTGTTGACCCAAAGATGATATCATCAACATAGATTTGCATCACAAACAAGTCATTTCTAAGTTTCTTGGTGAAGAGAGTGGTGTCAACCTTTTCCATCTTGAATCTCTTAGAGAGTAGGAAATCCCTCAATCTCTCATACCATGCTCTAGGTGCTTGTTTCAATCCATACAAAGCCTTTCTCAACTTGTAAACATGGTTGGGTTTCTTCTTATCTTCAAAACCGGAAGGTTGCTCAACATACACAAGCTCATTGATGTACCTATTGAGAAATGCACTCTTCACATCCATTTGGTACAACTTGATGTTGTGGGCACAAGCATAGGCTAACAAGATCCTAATTGCTTCCAATCTTGCAACCGGGGCATATGTTTCTCCAAAGTCAAGACCTTCAACTTGAGTGTAACCTTGAGCCACTAATCTTGCTTTGTTCTTTATTACTATCCTATCTTGATCTTGCTTGTTCCGGAAGACCCACTTGGTTCCAATCACATTATGATCCTTAGGCCTCTCAACTAACTCCCATACTTGGTTTCTTGTAAAGTTGTTTAGCTCTTCATGCATAGCATTTACCCAATCAACATCCTTCAAAGCTTCATCTATCTTCTTAGGTTCAATGGATGACACAAAAGAGAAATGCTCACAAAATAAAGCCAATCTTGATCTAGTTTGCACACCTCTTGAAATATCACCAATGATAGTATCCAATGGATGATCTCTTGCAACATTGGTTGGTTGGAGCACTTGCACTTGATTGCTTGCATTTGATTGATCACTTGGTTGAGATGATGAACTAGCCACTTGTTGTTGATCTTGCACTTTGCCATCACTAGTTCTTGCTTGAACTTGATCATGAGAACCACTAGCTTGCACATTTGAGTTAGAGAGCACTTGATTCTTGTCATCTTCAACATCAATCACCTCTCTAGGCCTTATATCACCAATGTCCATGTTCTTCATTGCATTGACCAATTGAGTGCCTAGTGCTCGTCTCACCTTGCTTGCCGAGAGGGCGAGGCGGCATGGCACGGGGCGTGGTGATGATGATTGCTTTCATGGAGGTGATGGCGGAGATCTGCCGTGACCCCGAGGTGCTCACTGAGAGAATGGCTCTGACGGTGAATGGCTACTGGCGATGACGACCAATTGCATCGGCGGTTTTGAGTCTCACGAGAAAAAAAGAGGAGGAGAGAAAAAAAAAAAAAAAGATAAGGGGTTAAATGCAAAGTGCTAGACATCGTCGGTATACGATGTAATGCCGCATTGGATAAATTGTCCATGTGTCCGATATGAACCTATGGTGCAGCACTTATCAAGTTCAGTGTCACAGAAATGCATTTTTCAAGTTCATGGACCTAAGTGACACCCCTTGATAAGTTCAGGGACCCCTCATGCATTTAACTCTAGAATATACCACAATATGTTCCAAGAGTACTATGTGAATAATCAAAGACACATAATGGAATATTCCATTTATACTACGTGAACATCTCTTAATTATATTTCGAAACATCTCATGAATAATGTAAACGTCATATTGAGGGTAAGCACAGTTGTGCCTACCACTTCATGAAAAAAAGGCCCAAGGCCCAAGAGGTCCAAGGACCTCCATGTAATTTATAAACCTAATAGGGTACAGAGAGAAAAATTGCTCCTTTTTCCATCTCTCCTATAAATATAGCCCATGGGGCAAGGGCAAGGCATTCCCCTCATTCTCCAAACCCTAGTCCTTACTATCCCCCCTCATTTAATTCCCTGTGCGGGACAAGTTAGCTTAGCTAAACTTCATATCGGTGAAGTTATATGCGAAGGTCTAGATCTCGACACATCATACGTATCTAAGAATACAAAAAATAAAAGAGTATGTCTACTGTACAACCATGTGTTTCAGCAAAAGCTAGCACATGGTTGTTTGCTGGCGGCAAAACACACGATTTATAACGGAGAAAAAACCATATGTTTTAGCACAAGCTAGCATATGGTTGTTGGTTACTACTAAGAACACATGATTTCCAACATAGAAGAAACTGTGTGTTTTAAAACAAGCTAGCACCTTTTGTTATTGGCTGCCTCTAAAAGAATGAATTTTAAAGAAGGCCCACGCAGAGGAGAAAATCTGTTGTAATTTACGTGCAAGCTGAAGAGTAAAATAGTACAACCCATTAACTAAAATGACAAAATGACCCATTAAACAACAACAGCCCATAAAAAAAGCCCAAAACCATGAATACATAGGAATATAGCGAGATAGACTTGGGAGACAAGCAAAGGAAAAAAAAGCAGATCTCTCATGCGTGGGAAGCCTCCGCTCTGCTCACGCAGAGAAGAAGAAAGGGCGGAACATCAGATTGCAAAAAGAAGAAGAACAAGAAATTTCAAGAAAAAAGCACTACAGGACTCATCCATACCTCATCATCAAAGGTTAGTATCCCAATCTTTTGAATCTATTTTCTGAAAAAGCAAAAAAACAATAGCAACTCAGATCAAAGACTAGGAGAATGTAGATCCATAAAAAAGTCATTCAGGATGGCAAAGATGGCCTGTTGCCTGTGCTTGCTACAACAGCAGGGCGTGCCCTAGTTGCTCAGTGTGCACAGGAAGCAGGTCAAGCACTTGTGCTCCGATTCTTGACATGTGTCCCAGGAGAACTGATCTAACCGTGGTATGCGTGCATGGAGACCGGAAGCCTCTCGCACGTTCTCTGTTCGGCTCCGACGCTCCACTTCGCGGACTCTAACCTGCCAAGGAGCCGTCTCTAGGTGTGTTTGATCCTTTTCTGAGACGGGTGTCAAGAATCGGAGCCATGTATGCATGGCAGCACGCTGCATCCAGTATCCATGCATTTTTTTCCCTTTACACGCATAGGCGATGCAAGTGTATATGCACGAAGAAAAAAAAATCATATAGGAGTTTATTCCAATGAGAAATTAAACATGCAAAACTTATAAGGACTTGACTAATTAACATCATTCGTGCAGTTCCACGTACATATAAGGACTTGACTCCACATGGCCATGCATTATTCAGATTACATGCTAACGACTGAAAACAATAAGCGAAGGGACCCAAATCATAACATGCTGGACTCCTAGTTGACCCTCACTCAGCTCGTATAGGTAGTACCCATGCTACAATGCCCTGTTTCACATGCAATAGGCTATGCAGTACAAAAAACTACCAACACAAATGCATATAACTAAACCCCCATATCCATTCGAGCATGCATGTATGTAGCCACGTATATAACAACACAGGAATTTAGCTATTCACTTTTTCACCCCTGCATTCCTTTTCACAGGAGTCCTTGCACCCATGAAAGACCATAGACATGCACACAGTGTATGTAGGGCCTGGAGTGCTCTTGCAGTGACTGTCGCATGCGCTGTCGCAGTCACACGTAGTCCCTTTAGGGCAGTTGGCTTTGCAGCCCATACCGCAGTTGAACTTGCACTTAGCTTCATCTATACCACCGATAGGGGCCCCGCAAGAGCTCGCGGCTTTCTTGTTGCACTTGGAAGGACATTCGGAGATGCAACGACGAATGGCGCAGGATGGCGCCCCTTCTGCTGGTTTCCCCACCCAGCACATAACCAGAGCCACACAAATGGCAGCAGCAACGGCTCCCTTCAGAGCAGAGGCACGGAAAGCCATTATGTGATTTATGTGTGGATGCACAACTAGCTTAAGAGAAAGTTTCTTTATGAAGCAAACTAGCAAAGAGATGTGTGTGCTCAAACGGTAAGTCATTTCGTGCTATTTATAGGCTCCCAAGTTATAGCATATGCAAACAGCTAGTATTATTTACCCTGGCATTACTATCAGTTGACTTCGTGATATGTGCAAGCACGAGGAACAAGGAAAGAGTACTAGGTATCTAATTTTTTTAGTATACTGCATCTAACTGTCGGTGCCTTGCCTTTCAGCTTACGGGAGCCTCGTTTCCACTGGTCCGTCCTTTCCTATCCCGGCTTCTTTCTTGATCTGTTCCTGGTTCAGTGATGCGTGCGCGCGGTTCAGAGCATCATCCTCCTTCATGGCGTCGCGGTGCTGCCATGGCGAGGTCGGCACCAACCACACCACAGCCCCCCCCCCCCAACGTCACCTGGTGGCGATGGCTTGACATCAGCACGGCGAGATTCCTGATTGTTTATTGCATTTCCTCGAGGGCTGCGTGCTCCTGTAATTGATGTATGCGTTGAGTGTCTGAGAAGGAATCTTCTTAGCAGCAAGTTTTTTTTTTTCTAATGTCTTCATTACGCTAGATTGGAATGATAGTTTACTCACTTTGATAGCTAAATTAAATTGGAGCAGAAAGAAGAAAGATTTGTCAGTGATAGACGACTAGGATGGATCACTGTTAGAATTTATGGTTATGGGCTTGGCCCAATAAAAAATTTCTAAGAAATCTCAAAGGCCCAGCCACGCCCTCTCTCGCACATGACATGGGCAGGACGGCGTGGACGGCGATGACGCCAACCGTGAGAGAGGCCAGTTAGGTGGTGTCGGCAGCAGGGAAGTTGACGGTGAAAAAGAAAAAAGGGACTGGGATTAGTGATGGCGGCCGTGAAAGGTGGAGATGGTTGAGCGCGCAAGGTTGAAGATGATAAGGCCTGGGTTCACTCTAAACTATCACATCGAATCTTACGGTACATACATAAAGTATTAAATATAGATAAAAAAAATTAATTACACAGTTTGATTGGAAATCGCGAGACGAATGTTTTAAGACTAATTAGTCCATGATTAGCCATAAGTACTACAGTAACTAACATGCGTTAATGATGAATTAATTAGGCTTAATAAATTCGTCTCGCAGTTTCCTGACGAGCTTTGTAATTAGTTTTTTTTATTAGTATCCAAAAACCCCTTCTGATATCTCTGAAACATCCAATGTGATATCTAAAAATTTTCATTTCATGAACTAAATACAGGGGATTGAGGCAGAGAAGGTGGGTGAAGAAAAGGACCGGTCGTGTGCTGGAAGCTAATCATATGACTGCATCCAAAGAATTTTCTATTCAAACTGTGACCTGCGTCCCTGCCTACTCGTTTGCCGTGGATGTAGGTTTGGGGAGTAGGCAATCACAACACCTTACACAAGCAATGTAAGTGTATATACGGGAAGAACCATAGAGTTTATCCCAAAGAAAAACATGCTAAACTTATGGGGACTTAGACTATCCAATTGCGCGATTTTGCTTAGGCAACATGGCCATACATAATTCAGATTACATAACGACCGAAAACAATAAGCAAAGGACCCAAACCAAAACACGCTGGACTCGTTGACCCAAGCTATGCAGTACAGAAGATTAAATAAACTACCCACACAAATGCATATATATAAACCCCATACATTATTGGTGTTAAGTAATCTGCTGCTCCTTTGTGTGAACACACGGCAGGGGATGGCGGCGTCGAAAATGCTCCCTGCTATGGTACTGTAGTCACAGCAGGGGCAGGCGCCAAAGTCAGCCATGCTGTCATATCTAATCACTGTAGCAGTACGGCAGCCTAATATGTCTGTGTACTAGGATTAGATGGATAAAGTCTCTGGAGCTCCGGCGGCTAATCTACGTCGATCCTCGAGCTACCACATCGCTGGTGAGGTCAACTCCGGCGGGCTCGCGCCCCTCCCCTGTTTCGGCCGTTGAGCCGGACACACCCCGTCATGGCGCCGTCGTTCTATGTCCCTCTCCCCTCTCTGCGCTGTGGGTCTGGCCCAAAACGGTGTCACCACCCGTCCTTGGGAGGAGGTCAAGGATGGCCCATGTGTCAGTGACACGCGTCGCCGACACCCAGACCCTACTTGTCAGACACTGGCTCACGTACACAGTACACAACACGTGGATATTTGCTAAGGTCACACGGGCCGTGTACACAGGGTGATGGAAAACTACTTTCCTTACATAGAAAAAATCCTAGAAAAATCCTATAAATACTAGAGGCATCCTAGAGCCTACCCACACCTTTACCATGACTTTTCCATTCATCCAAATATCTCCAAAATTCCATAAATTCCTAAAACCCTATTTTTAACTTCTAAAAATCATATCTCCTACGTTCTAATTCTGTTTTCCATAAAATCACCACCAAAATTCTTCTAAAATCAAGCTCTATTTATTTTACCTAGTACCACCATATGATTCTATGTTTGCTTTTGTGCTAGCGGTAGTCTTATTTATTAGCTACGACCGACACAGGAGGGCGAGTATCAGGAAAACAAGGACCCGGACTACGTTGAACTGGAAGGAGAGCACAACGAAGGCAAGTCCTAACTCCCCTTCACCCACCACCTTGTTTCACCTTTTCCATCATGAACCCACTACTTTCCACTTTACCTAATAAATAACTAATAACTCTAATTTATATAATCCGTATTATTTTATATAAATATTCATGAGGATGAATAATGTGAGATATTGTGACTTGATATGACCTGTGTGATATATTGAAACTGTGACGTGATATGAGCACTTGTGATATATTTATAATATGAGCATTTGTGATATGATATAAATCTTTATAATATTCTATGGACTTTTAATCTAATGATGAACTTAAGAACCAAACTATGTGAATGTGTATTTAGCAAACCCATTTTAGACAAGGGGCGAGTGAGGGGTAGTTTATGTGGTATAAACTACCTTGGCAGGATTGCCTAGTGAGGGTTCCTGTTGGTAGATACTCGCCTCGGTCGCATAAGGACCGGTTCATAGGGCATCTCTCCTAGCATGATATTTCGTATAGCCACATGTCTATATGGGTAGACTGGATCTCACAATCCGCTAGATAGAAGTATAAATTCAACTAGGAGGCCGGCGTGGCAACGGACTATCAGGAGACGACACGAATGCTGGGTGATCTTCCGTGGTCTAGTCGGCATGGATGCTATGTGGTCTTCCATGTAAAATTGTCGTTGTGCCATGTGCGAGCACCTATAAATATATTTATATCCATTGGATGTTGTGCGATCATCCAAGTCATTATCTATTGGATGATGAGTGCTCATCCAAGTCGTTTCCGGCCCCTGAGAAGCCGTGGTAGAATTATATAGAAATCTAAGGTCGAATCTTTCGGGTATGGGATCTCGTTAGGTCTATTTCCACCACTGATCATGGTTGGAAATTGCGCCTATCATGTGGGAAAAAGTGTACACCCTCTGTAGAGCATACTGAATTTATTCGAATAGCCATGTCCTTGGAATGGGCAATCGCTGGGATGAGGTCTCTTATGATTAGTTTATTTTTATGTGTAATGAAACTGGACTAACATGTTGAATTGACTAATAATAATAAACTCGGGAACAGGCGATAAGGGTAATGCTCTCCTGGGGCCCAAACCCACAATAATTTTATATTATACCACCTTACCATTTCCACCGCCATCATAAATCCACCGCCACCAAATAAGCCTTCAACATCCACCTCGCCATACCCCAAGGTTAGGGCTTGCTGAGTACTTTATGTACTAAACCATTGATGACTCATAGATATCAACTCCGAAGAGGACTACAACATTGATGAGGAGGTGGACCACGAGGACAAGGAGCCATGCGAAGATTTATAGATCTGCTGGAAGGAGTTACTAGGACATAGGGTTTCGATTGCGCAAAGCTTGCACGTGGATTAGAGTTTAACTACGATGTAGTTTCATTTGTTGTATCTACCACCTTATTGTAATAAATTGTCGCTTCACGGCAGTAGAACCTCGCTAGTTATGTAATAGCTATCGCTATGCCATTTGATCCTTGAATATTGTAAGACCATATTTTGATTATCAATAAAGCTCGATATTTTATATTAAATCTATGTGCCAATTACATTATTTACATGCGTATTTGTGCATGATCACGGGTGCAAATACAAGTGCACTTGGGACTCTCAAATTGAGGGCCGACACAACAGTGGTGCGTTAGGTTTAGGAGTGCAGACAAGGAGGTGCGGGGCTGCTGCGTGGAGCGTGAGGCACCAATGAGGGGGATGGAGCCCTCGACACTAGTAGAGAACAGACCTTTGATCCTCGGCCAAAATGGGCTCTAGTCCCAGAATTTTTTGCCCCCGGGACTAGAAATACCTTTAGTCCCGGTTGGTGGCTCCAACCGAGACTAAAGGTCCTGCCAATAGCTACTTTGCTGAGATGAGGTGGTAGGGACCTTTAGTCCCGGTTGGAGCCACCAACCGGGACTAAAGTATACTCTTACTCCCGGTTGGTGGCTCCAACCGGGAGTAAAGGTCTACTCTCGGGCGTGGCTGCGCCTTAGGTTGGAAAGTTACCTTTAGTCCCGGTTGGAGCCACCAACCGGGACTAAAGGTCCCCCTTTATATTCCGCCGTCTCCTTCCTCCCAGAGCCCAAGCTCAAGACATTTTGAAGCTCACTACAGTAGTGTTCTTGCTTCCTCCTCCTCCATTGTTCCTCCATCCATTCTTGATTCCTTCGTCGATTTCTTTGATTTCTCCGTCGATTCTTCAGTTGTAAAGGTTACCAATCTCATACTCTCATTTTCACCATTGTCTTATCTCATTTTGTTCACTATATATATGGTTCTTTATTGTGGTTTTTTTCATTTGTAAGCAATTTGAGCTTAAAATCACTTCAAGCTTGCATATTTACATGAAAGAAGGTTAAAGTAGCTAGTTGAACTTGCGGA